TTGATACCAGAAAGAAGAGACTAATAGAATAGGGTAGAGGGTTGCCTATGATTGGAGGTTGTGAGGACATTGAAAATTAGGTTTAGAGAGAAGGATGGGAATATGTAAGCATATGGAGAAATGTGGCATCCAGAAATTTACAACAGGAGCAATTCTTGGTAATGGCAATACCTAACACATGATGCGAATGGGAATGGAAAGACCGAGATAAAGAAAAGACGAAGGTGAACAACGCTAGTGACATGGATGGCGATGCACAGAGTGGTGTTAGCAATTAGGGTGGACAGGAAGACCACATGCAAACTATCAGAGATGCTTATAGTTGGGGAATGGGCAACACAGCTTGATGGTGTAAGTCTCCAAGGGGAAACATTGAAAGTGAGTGAAAGTGGGGCCAGCAGATGGCACAGTGGTTACATCACTGGACTCCAACATGGCCAACTGTGGTTCAAGTCTCAGACCCAGTGGCTTGAAACTGATCCTGGGTATGTGTGTTTGGATGCTCAAGATCCTGGGAGGAAAATAGAGGAGAAGGGATTTGACATGGCCATCCCTCCTAGGGGGTTATTTCTCACCTTTCCTCTCACTTTCATTGTCTTCCCCCCACCCCCAGAGTGTATGTGCCCTAAGGCAAAAACCCCTAAAAAAATAGGAGAAAGGATAGAAAAGAGAGTCTTGCTTTCTTCACTTTCTTTCTTTTTTTTTGGAGAGGTATTTGCTACAGGGCACGTGTGCTCACCAGAAAGATAGAGAGACAGAGAAACAGAAAGTGAGAAATCACCCCCCAGGGGGGTTGGCCAAGCTGCAATCCCTTCTCCTCCATTCTCCTCTTGGGATCTTGGGCACGCATGCACATGTGCCCAGCATGAGTTTAAGCTGCCAGGTCTGGGACTCGAACTGCTGTCGACTACATGGTAGTCCAGCGACATAGCCATTATGCTAACTGCTGGTCCCAAAGAGCATCTTGCTTTCTGATCCCAGGATGTAAGTTGTTGCTGCCAGAGAAGAGTTGGTGGGATACAGTGGTCCCCAGGAGAAAAGCCAGGTTTCCCTGGGACAGAAGAGTGATAGAGAAAACACATTAAAAAAAAGCAGAGGGCATATAGAAATAGTTGGCCAGTGAAACAGGGAGGCTAGTGGCCATAGAGAAAACAACTTGAGACGTAAGCTGATAGGGGTATTAAGGCATAGAGTGTGTTACTGACAGCTCAACATTTTATGCCATTTAAAAAACCAAACAGTTCTATTTCATTGGCATCTAGGGTTTAAGTTCCATAACTAACTCTTTCTAAATCTTATTCAATTTGTGTGTTCCTCATTGATAATTTAAAGGCAAAGTCAGTTAAATACTGCTCTGAGTTTACTTAAAGGGCTGTAATCAAAAAGAATTTTTTTAAAACATGCATGAGGAGTATTGGGACTGATAGGCACATGGCCTGCATCCTTCGAGACTGCATCTCCAGGGAGGTGCTTCTTCAGACTGAGGAAGGAGCTGAGAGGTGCTGCTTATAAGTGATGACAAATCTTCATATGCTTTACTGAAGATTAAAGCTGAGACTAAGCCAAGCTGTTTCTTTTAATGAACTAGTAGAGCCAGTAGAAGGCCCCGGGGTTGGCAGGAAAAACTGGAATTGTTTGTAGTGTTTTCCTGAAATCACTGAGTTGTAGGATGTTTATGCATTACTGGTGCTTAGCACCATGTCTAGTACATAACAAACTCAAAACTAAACTTATTTAGTTTGCTAAATAAACTAAAAGAAAGATTTTATAATTAATAGTCAGACTCCTTGAGAATAAGAGCAGTTGTGTATGTGCGTAGGTGTGCATGTATGTGGCTGCCTGTCCAAACTTTTCTCCTTTTTCTAATTCTTCTGTGTTCTTTCTTTTTCCTTTCTCTCTCTCTCTTTCCTTTCTCTCTCTCTTTTTCTTTCTTTCTTTCTTTCTTTCTTTCTTTCTTTCTTTCTTTCTTTCTTTCTTTCTTTCTTTCTTTCTTTCTCTTTCTTTCCTTCCTTTCTTCTTTCCCTTTTTCTCTCTCTCCCTTCCTTCCTTCCTTCTTTTCTTTTTTTCTTTTCTTTCTTTCTTTCTTTTTTTTTTTGCATTTGGCATCCCAAATAATGCAATCACATCACAAAACTAACTTTATTATAGAGAGTGGCTTGTCAGGACACAGCTCTGCATCTGTAGTAAGGAAAGTATGCGTTTAATCTGTCTTCATCAGCCAATAAACCAGCGATTCCCAACCTTGGCTGCAACTTTAATTGGAATCACCTGGGGTGATAACAATTTTTATGCTTGTTTTCCACACGAGATCTTGACTCATATGGTCTGGGGTGGAGCATCGATGTAGTGTTTTCTTTTTTTTTTCAAAGTTTCCTAGGAAATTTGAATGTGTATCCAACCAAGGTAGAAAAACACTGCTTTGGCCAATTTTTGTCAGAGGCTCCCAATATCATTAGGAAGGCGTTTTCATGGGCTTCCCCCTCTGAGTCACGATTCATTTGACCTGGCTATTCTCTTTACCTTTTAGTTTGGCTTGAGCTCCTGCTTTTAGTTTTATTTTGCCCTCTAGTTAATTTGGATCTTTTAACCTTGAGCTCCAAAGAATAATTTTTAAGGAATTTTGGGGAAGTTAGAACTTAAACTGTTTCTGTGTCCGAGGTGCATACTATTTGAGCTATGTTTGAAACACAATTGCTGACAACTTCAAGTGCATTACTTTATGATCATGAATTAAAAAAATTAAATCCTTAGCTTCCCTGTAAACCTTGCATGCTAATTTTATTAGGGAAATTATCATTGAGAAACTCAAGGCTGTTTCACTGGAAATGCAAACTGTAATGACTAGGGAGAGGCAGAGCTATAGCTATAAATTAAGGATCTCGGCCATTCATTTTACACACTCTACTTCAGTGTCCAACCCTCTCGGGCTCTCCAAACGCCTGGTAAGTTCTTCAGCTCCAATTTAAGACTTTTGTGTTTTGAGACTATTCAAGTTTATCGATTGGAAAGAAGTAGTTTTTATCAGGCATAGACTTTCCTTGCGGTGGTTTTCTTTAATTAAATGCCTACATGGTCATGACGGTGTGTCTTTTTTTATCTTGTTTGCCAGGAAGTTAATCAGTTTTATTTTTGAGTACATGGCACATGCATCCCTGAAAGGAAACCTGAGGTTGAAATTGAAACTTTTAAAAAATGTTTTCTGGAGTCTTTTTGCCTTAGGTCATGTGCAAAAGGTCACTCACCAGAGAGAGAGAGACAGAGACACTGAGAGAGGAAGTGAGAAATCACCTCCCACTCCCAGGATGATTGACCCTGCAGCAATCCCTTCTCCTCCATTCTCCTCTCAGGATCTTGGGAATGCATACACAAGCACCTGGTATGATTTTTCAAACCACTAGGTCTGGGACATGAACATGGTTGGCCATGTGGGGCTCAGTGATGTAATTACCACCTGCTGGCCCCAAAACTTGAAGCTTTAGCAGGAGATGTAAAATACCTTAGTAGAAATGAGCTCATTATAGCAACAGCTCCCTAAGTATGTGGATTTTCAAGGCTTTCTTTCTTTTTTTTGGGGGGGGAAGTTTTTGCTATAGGGCGCATGCACTCTCCAGAAAGACAGAGAGAGACAGAGAGACAGAAAATGAGAAATAAGCCCTCAGGGGGGGATGGCCATACCACAATCCCTTCTCCTCCATTCTTCTTTTGGGATCTTAGGCATGCATGCACATGCGCCCTGTGTGAGTTTAAGTTACTGGGTCTAAGACTTGATCCGCGGTCGACTACATGAGAGTCCAGTGACATGGCCATTACATCAACTGCTGGTCCTTCAGTCTTTATTCTTGCTATAGGAGTTCTTTTAAAGAATTCATTAACCAGTTATTAAATAGCTGGTGATGGACTTAGACACAGTGGTTTGTGCTGCTAAGATGCTGTGCACTGCAGGCTGAGACCACATGGGAGGCCTGGCTTTGATTCCCAGTCCAACCTGAAGTCTGGGCACTGTGGTACATTCCTGTGATCCCAGGAACTCAGGGAGGCTGAGGTAGAAATACTGTTAGCCTGAGGCTGACCTGGGCAACATAGACAACATCTAACAGAAGAGCCAGGTGTGGTGCTGCATGCCTGTTGTCCCAAAGGGAAGCTGAGGTGGCAGGATCATGACATGACAGGATGGTTTGTTAAAAAAATAAGAAGCTAGGGGTGAATAAAGCATAAATTATTACTTGTTTATTTTTGATAAATACAAATTGTTTCTTAAAATCATTTTATGAGATCAAAGGGGAGGGACTTCAAAAGATATGTGAAAAAAATGGAATTTAAAGTACAAGTTTATTTTGTGCAAAAAAGAATTGAAATCCATACATAATTTTTTCATCATATGCATTTTCCATGAACTTTTTTGAATATCGCTTGTACAAGCCTGAAACAAAACAGAAAAATATTAAAAAAGAAAAACTCTTTTATTCTAATGAATAATGTATAACCAGAGGTATGCCATTGCTCTCTGGGAAAATTTAGCCCAGAATCAAGATTTTTATATGGTTAGAGAATGAGTCTATCTGCCACTCTTTGGATTGGATTGTGAATCAATTGAGTGATGGAAAGTATCAGAGAAGAATACTATTGGCTTTAATGTTATTAAGTTTGGATGGGAGACACCACTTGAACTTGAGGACAGTGGGGTTTCCCCACACATTCTCCTGCCATGTCACCGGCTGAGCAGGTGGACAAACTGGACATTGGCAGGACAAGGGCTGGGTTTCCCTGCACAAGTTTACCACTGAGAGGCTACAGCCAGCAGGCAGAGGCAGGCATGCTTGACAGGGAAGAGAAAGTAAAACCAAACTTATCTTCCTCCCCAGAGAGGTGAGAACTGAGAGCGCTGGTGACTGCCAGCCTCTAGCTGCTTCTTGTTTTCTGCCAATAGAAGGTGTGAGAAGCAGGCGTGGTGATCTTTCCCCAAGAGAGTGAAAAATCCCTGATTCCTGGATCAATGCAGAAAGATGGAAAGAAGTGGGAAGGATTCCCATGACACTAACCATTCAGTTCTGACTGTAGTCCTTGCTTTCTAGATCTCGCTGATAGTATGGATTCACTCAGCACAGCAAATGCTCAATTTGGGTTTGACCTTTTCAAAGAGATGAAGAAAACCGATGATGGCAACATCTTCTTTTGTCCTGCGAGCATCTCAGCTGCCATCGGCATGCTCCCCGGAGGCAGGCCGGAGTCCAGCGCCTCCCAATTACAGAAGGTAGGTGGCTGCCTTTGCTTTCCATGCATGGACTTGCTTCTGGGGCTCAGCTTTCTAGCATTATCTTGAACATATGCTTATTTTGACCCATGGGCCAGGAAACAAAAACTATGAAGACATGGATCTATTGCAGGTCTGTTAGGAAGGCCTCTTACTTCCCCAAATGCCATCATGCCATCTGCTCCCCGAAGACATGGTCCTATTGCAGGTCTATTAGGAAGGCCTCTTGCTTCCCCAAATGCCATCATGCCATCTGCTCCCTGAGACTTGGCATTCCGTTGGTGAGGTTTGATGAGTGGCCTTAACCAAAGCCTTTGCTCTCATAATTGAAGACAGAGTCAGAAGAGCAAAAGCTCCTGGGAAAAGTGGCATAATCTCTACCAGGGTATACATGGCAACATGAACAGATAAAGCAAGGTGGGCTCCTCCAAAAAGATCAGTGGCAATGCGAACTTTTTCATGATTGTACTAGAAAACGAAGATTACTTGTATCTTTGAGGTTTCTTTAACAAGTGTTCACTTTCTCCTGACTGGTTCTGTGTGAGGTATTCTCTGTCTGACCTCTGCAATAATATTTTCTGTCCCTCCCAGATGTTTTATTTTGACACAGCTCAAGAATAAATGCTGAAGAAAAACAGGTAGGGATATGGGTCTTATTATTTTTAGTATGGTTGGATTTTATGTGTGGGCTCACTGGGGAAACAGAGTAGGGAAGGTATTCAGGCTTACTAATCATGGAAACCAAATAAAGTTGCTAGGACTATATAATCATCATCATCAGTATCCCTTAATATTAAGAGATCTTAACTTTAACGGACATTAACAGCTATGATATAACTGATAACGTCTAACAGACTGAGAAGTTCATGTTCAAGTTCTGACTCAGTCACCTCAGAGTTATGCTACTTTACTCTTTTTTATTTTTTCTGAGATATTTTTGCTATAGGGTGCATGTGCTCACTGGAGAGAGAGACACACAAAGCAAAAGCAAGAAATCACCCCCTGGGGGGATAGCCACACCACAAACCCTTCTCTATTTTCCTCTTGGGATTTTGGGCACACATGCACATATGCCCAGCATGAGTTTTAAGCTGCCGGGTCTGGGACTCAAAGTGTGGTTCACCACATTGGAGTCCAGTGCCTCAACCACTATACCACCTACTGGCCCTACTTTATTTATTCTTCAGCCTCAGAAAAGTGTCTAGTAGGAGCATCTGGAACACAATGATAACTTACTTAGTGGTGGTGCAGGCTCAGTTGCATCTATGTAGAGCCAGGCGTCCTTCTAGGATTTTCAGACCAGAGCAGGGTCAGATAGCTGCTTTGATGTCCACTCAGTAGAGGAATGAAGTTATTTTCAAAGCATTTTCCCTTGTAAGCATGATAGCCCATACAAAGCCTTTGCACAAATGAGAAAATTCCCTTGGATAGATGCCCTTCTTCAGGGTGAAGGGCTTGAAGACAGGAGTGGGTGTTGAGTTCCAGCTTTGTGCAGGGCACCAGTTGTCTGAGCCTTGGTAGCATCTCTGTCCATTCTCTGAGATTTTATTGGGAGCTGCAGAGGTACAAAGAATAGGTACACATAAATACTGACAGAAAAGTTGTTAGGGCAGAAAACACATCTTATAGGCCAACTACTCTGATCTTATTTAATAGATGTGGAAACATCATATGAGTAAAGCGATTAGCCCAGAGACAGGATTGATGTGTACCATTTGATTATCACATGAATTCAGAACATTCTGAAACTTGCTTTTAAAAATTGCTGATAAAATCTTAAGGGAAGTGTACGAAAGGTACAAGGAGTACTGCAATGAATATTAACCCCCTTCTTCCAGTGTAAGAAATAAACTATTGCCAGATGAACTAATTTCCTTCTAAGTGCCTCCCTCGAGTAGGCCTCCCCACCGTCCTGAGACGGGGAGCTCCACTATCCCGAGTGGAGTGTTCATGATTTCATTACATACAGTACCTTTTTTTGTCATTATTCTTTGTTACTTGATTATTTTGGCTCAGCTTTATGTTTACAAGATTTGTCTATTTCAGATAGATACTTGTAACCGTCATTGATTTATCTTCATAGCTTTCTTTTTTTTTTCCCAAGAGATTTTTGCCTTAGGGTGAGTGAGCAAATGAGAGAGAGAGAGAGAGAGAGAGAGAGAGAGAGAGAGAGAGAGAGAGAAAGTGAGAAATCATCCCTGGGGGGAGGGAGAGAGATGGCCACGCCACAATCCCTTTTCCTGTTCTCCTCAGATCTTGGGCATGCACACACAAGAACCTGGTGTGATTTTCAAGCCCCTGGGTCTGGGACTCGAACCACAGTTGATCATGTGGGAGTTCAGTGATGTAACGGCTACTACATCTGCTGGCCCCATATCCTCGTATGTTTCTATTTATCCTGTTGCTAGGGGCTGACTTCCTTCCTTTCTTTCCCTTTCTTCTTCCCTTCCTTACAACCTACCATCTTTCCTTCCTTCATTTCTTCCTTTCTTCTTTCCTTCCAAAAATGACAAACGATGATGAAATAACACCTTTTATATAGTCTACCTAGATTACCGGGATGAGAATTTCTCTAGTCCTGAGCTTTCCTATATAGTAGTTGTGTAAGAGGCTATGGAATGCTTAAAGTGTGTCCAGTTGGAACTGAGATGTGCTGTAGACATAAAATATATACTGGATGTATTTAGCGTGAGACGATTTCTGCTATCAAAGTAACATTATACTCATAAAATGGGTTGGGGATGGCTTCCTCTTTTTCAGTTCTCAGTAAGAATTTGTAATTAAGGTGGCTGGATCCTACAAGGCTGAGTGCCTGCTTTGGGTTCCGGACCCAGTTTGAGAAACAAATTGGGTGCATGTGCCTGTGTGCCCAAATCCCGAAAGGAGGCGAGATGAACGGATTGCTGCGTGATCACTCCCATAGAATACCTTCTCGTTTCTGTCCCCCTCTCCATTTCTCTGGTGAGCACACACACCCGCATTTCAGCAATCCCCCTTCTGCTTCAGTCTCTGTGATTCCAACTACTTTAGATAATTCATAAGACATAGCATCTGTCCTTTTGTGACTGGCTTATTTTTCTTAGCTTAATGTCTCAAGTTTCATCTATGTTGAGATATGTAACAAGCTTTAACTTTTTTTTTAAAGAGATTTTTACTATAGGGTGAGTGTGCTCTCCAGAGAGACAACAAGAGACAGAGAGATAGAACATGAGATATCACCGTCCCAAGAGAAATGGCCACACTGCAATCCTTTCTCCTCCATTCTCCCCTTGGGATTTTGGGCATATATACACAAATGCCTGGCATGAGTTTTAAGCCGGGTCCGAGACTTGAACTACGGTTGGCCATGTGGGAGTCCAGCGGCATAATCATTATGCCATCTACTGGTCCCACAGCTTTAATTTTTAAGAGTAGACATTATTTTGTTGTATGTACATGCCACATTCTTTTTTTATCTATACATCTGTTGATGGGCTTTTGGAATGCTTCTCACTCTTGGATATTGTGAATGTTGCAGTACAGATGGGTGTTCAAATATCACTGTTCAAGACCCTGCTTTGAATTCTTTTGGATACATACTCAAAAGTGGGTTAGATTATACAGTAAGTTAATTTTTAATGTTTTTGAAGATGCTCCCTGCTACTTTCCATAACAGCTGTACCATTTTACATTCTACAACAATGAAGAAAATTCCAATTTCTTTGCATCCTCACCAACCCTTGTTATTTTCTGCATTTTTTTGGCTTTGCCATAGGGTGTGTGTTCTCACCATAGAGAGAGAATTAAAGACAGTGAGAGGGAAAGTGAGAAGAAACTCCCCAGGAAAGGTGGCCGCACTACAATCCTCCTCCTTTTTCCTCCTGAGATATTGGGCACTCATGCACATGAGCATGGTGTGATTTTCAAGCCACTGGTTGGCCCTGTGGGAGTCCAGCAACATAATCACTATATCATCTGTTGGCCCCAATTCTTTGTTCTTTTGATAGTTACCATCTCAATGCATGTGTGATATGGTATCTCATTATGATTTTGATTTGCCCTTGTCTTATGATTAGTGAGTAGTATTAAGTATCTTTTCATGGACTTGTTGGGAATTTGTTTATATCCCCGGGAAATTACCTATTCAAGGTCTTTACTTATTTTTAAATTAGATGATTTGTGTTTTGTTGTTAAGTTGTCGAAGTTCCATATGCATTTTGGATATTAACCCCTTACATAGAGGCTGGGCTGGAGGGTGGGGAGCAGTGTGTGCCTGTTTGGAGTGCTTGTGTCTCTGTCTGTTTATCTCTCTGTCCATCTCTCCCTCTGTCATGGAAGAAATAAATGAATAAAACTTAAAAAAATGTTTCTTTTATTGGCCCTAGAAAATTCTCAGTCACTTTATACCTTTTTAGTTTCATTTTTGCCATTCTCTCTTTTCTTACCTTTTGGAAAAATTCTTACGTGGTTGCCATATTTCTTAATAATACACATATTAATTTTAATCACTTTTTGTGTTTGTCTTATATTCTAAGAAAATGATCAAGCTTAATCTTTAGTTCATTAATTTAGCAGTGCCTAATAGGCAGCTTAATCCATCTACTGAACTCTTAATTTTAATATTTGATCAAATATTCATATCTAGATTGGTTAGTTGATTATTAAACCTACCTGTAACCTGTTGATATGTCTTATTTTTAAAACGTATTTTCAATAACTTTTGGTTAAAATGATAACTTTTTAAATGTGACATCTGATTATGCCAACATCTAAATTTCTTGAAGGTCTGATAATTTTTTCTGATTCTTGATATGGGACTTATTTTCTAATGACTTGTAATTTTGGAACATGAGCTCATATTTGGCTGATAATCTGTGGGAGTTCAGCGAAACTTATAATGTATTTACTTTTTTAATAACAATATCTTTTTCTCGAATAAAATCCTGGGATGTTACCTCTCCAAGGCCACTTTAAGGTAATTTCTCAGTCTGGGGTTTCCTAGATCACAAAGATTTTATAAATTCAGACTTAAAACTTGTTTTACTATAAGTTTTTCCTCCCCATTTGCTAATCAACTCCATCACAACTGTCCTACTGGAGAAATATGCCTACTGTGTCCTTCTCTTTCCATCAACCCATTCCCCCAAAAGGCTCCAGTACACTGATCTCCTCGCACCACATCCCAGTCAACCCAAACAGCCATAGCATGATTGCTGGCCATTTAAGAGCTCACAGTACTAAGGAGGGAGCCAAAAGTCAAATTCAGCTTCATATATTTTGTTAAGAGTAGTACACTTATGAACAGCCAAAAAACGCATGAAAAAATGCTCAATATCTATTATAACAGAGATGCAAATCAAAACCACAATAAGATACCACCTAGTCAGAATGGATAAGATTAAGAAAGTAAAAAATGGTAAGTGCTGCAGAGGCTGTAGTGAGAAGGAAGTTCTACAGTGTTCGTGGAAATGTAAGTTAGTCCAGCCACTGTGGGGAACAACATGGAGTTCCTCAAAGATCTATAAATAGAACTACCATACTACCTAGCAAATCCACATCTGGGTATCTACCCAAACGATGGGAGAACACTCAGAAAAGTGCTTGAACATCTATGTTTATGGCAGAATTATTCACATTGCTAAGACGTGGAACCAACCCCAATGTCTACAAATAGATGAATGGATTGAAAAAGTGTGGCACATATTCTCTATGGAATACTACTCAACCATAAAAAACAAGACCCTGGGGTTCGATAAAAAGTAGATGAATATTGAATATTTACAGTTAAGTGAAGCAAGTTAGGCTATGAAAAAGAGACATTGTACGCCTCCACTTAATATATACTGGCTGTCTGTACTCTATGGCAGAAACTGAAAGATTAGAGGATATAGAAGCATGGAAAATGGTTACAGATTCTCAAGACAGTGTGGGAAGAGGGTGGGAGAAGGGGGAGTGTGTGAGGAAAAGAACCAAGGAGAAAAATAGAGAGGCAAGACATTTATGAGACACAGAAATGGATGATTATCTGCTGATGGTAACATATATAGTATCTTCAACTGGACTGGTGTGAAGTGTGTTCATGTTGGGTAAGTTCACTACACAAGCTGTAGTGATGTATAGTGATTGAATATAAGAAATTAAAATAATAATAAAAATAAGAAAAAAAGTAGCATACTTTTACATTTTCAATATGAGTGTTTTCAGATATTTGTTAATTAGCCACAAAAATGAACAGATTGTCTATTAAGTGCCAGATACTACCCCAGGTATTGGGGAACTAGTAATGACATAAAATAAGAAAACAAAAGTAACAAGGGCCTCATATTCTAGAGGAAGATGACCTTTATGCTCAATCTGCAGTAGCCTACTCTCAGAACTAAATGCCTCTTTCTTCCATGTATGGCGAACTGAAGCAACCAGATATTCAACAGGCAAAGGTACAGTGCTGCTCTCTGTTCCTGGGCGTGTGCTGTGTGAGCTGGCTCTGCCATGGAACATGCCCCAGCCCTCAATCAGACAGAAAATATCCAGAAACTTTTCTTTTCTTTTTTTTCCTGGAGGCAGGAAAAAAGTCCTTTGAGTCCAATGAGTAGCTCAGATAAATGGCTACTTATTCCACAGAGAGTCACCTTTCTTATTTGTGGTCTGCAAGAGAAACTTTCAAACTACAGTGAATAAGAATTATCTTGGAAATTATCTGCTTTCCTCAGGTGCATAGAGTCTTGTGGGAAGATACAAACATACTGATTTAGTGGGCAATTATAATTACATTAAAAACCAAAATGTAATCTGAGTCAAAAAATCAAGATTTGTGGTGTTGGGCTGCAGAGAAAGCCTCTCTGTGGTGCCGAGATCGGTTAAGACTTATAGTATCACCTGATTTATGTAAAAGCCACTGAAATCCAGGGGCATACCAAACTCATGGCTGCTAAACTGAGGGAAGGACACAGCAGCCACATGTTCTTGGCGGGCGGAGGAGGACAGCTAGACTAGTTTTTGCCAAGATAACCCATCTAGCTTTTTGTTTTGATTTTGAAGATGGAGAAGAGTGAAGAGATACATCACCAATTCCAAAAGCTTTTGACCACACTAAGCAAACTCACTAATGGTTATGAACTGAACATAACCAACAGGCTGTTTGGAGAAAAAACATACTACTTCCTTCAAGTAAGTCTTGCTATGTCTACCGCATCTGTGAGTGATATTGATGAATGGCAGTGGCCCTCATAGAGGCATGCTGCCCTGGTTGTCAGCCTGGATGGGACAGCATCACTGGTGTGCTCCTCTCCTGCTCTGCTCTCCAGACATTCAGAACCTTGTAGTACCTTTTTCTACTTCGGGCAATATGACCTTAGTTTTGCCTTAACTCCTTTAGACCTGCATAAAACTGTCATGGAGCTATTCAAAATGATTTGCCCAGGGCCCAGAAATCACTCTTATGATATTAGTTGTCCTAATGTACAGGTAAATTTATTTAGCTATGTTAGCAATTGATAAATTGACTTTCAGCTTCTCCTATTCTCTTCCAGAAATACTTAGATTATGTTGAGAAACATTACCATGCATCTATGGAACCTGTTGACTTTGTAAATGCAACAGATGAAAGTCGAAAGAAGATTAACTCCTGGGTCAAAAGCCATACAAATGGTAGAGTATGGGTGGGCTGTTCATCATAAAAACACTTCTTGATTACTTCTGTGAGTGAAGCCCTGGGCTTGGCACTGCATGGGGTGCCATGTGGACAATGAGTTTTGTAGGGTTGGAGGGGGAAGAGGAGGCATAGGAGATGGCACTGAAAATGGCGGAGTGGCCTCAGCAAATGCGGAAAGGGGGGGGGGAACAGGGAGGCAACCATCGGAAGCTGACTGTATGGAATTAACAGAATTGTCTGCACGTGGCCATGGACCACAGTGTCTCTGGGGCTCCTGGAACAAGGCTCATGTCTTAGGTTTATGTTGTTTCTTTTATGTGAGAGTCTTTCTTTCTGAGTCTGAGCCTCTGTGTGAAAAGGTCATGGAGGACTTTTTTTTCTTTGTTAATGAGAAACATGCAGCTCTCCCAGCAAGACTTGTCTTGGTTACCAACAGCTGGGGCTACTGGGGCTTCATCTCTACTTAGGCGTCATGCAGGGTTGGTAACTTTCAGTACATCCACAGCAAAGAATATGACAAATCCCTTAGCCCATTCTCACCTTCTCATCCTATAGTATGAGCCAAGCACACAAAATATTACCAGAGAGAAACGTTAATGTGGAAATAACGCTGTAGGGAACAATAGTCAATACTTTGGCATTAGAGTTTTCAAGTACATTTTTTATTTTGGTTACCAGAGAGGCTCATGTTACTTCAGAATACATAACTATTTTCTTTATGCTTAGTCCAAAAGAGAAAAAAAGGAATCTGTGAAAAAGTTTATTGAACAGTATTTTTTAGAACCTTGTGTGGGACAGACTGAACTCAAAGGCAAAAATGTCAGTTCCTTTTCCAGTAGCATAAATAACCTCTAAACCTCAGTTGGTAACTTTATTGAATTGCGGGAAGGGGGGGGGGAACAGGGAGGCAACCATCGGAAGCTGACTGTATGGAATTACTTAACAGAATTGTCTGCACGTGGCCATGGACCACAGTGTCTCTGGGGCTCCTGGAACAAGGCTCATGTCTTAGGTTTATGTTGTTTCTTTTATGTGAGAGCCTTTCTTTCTGAGTCTGAGCCTCTGTGTGAAAAGGTCATGGAGGACTTTTTTTTCTTTGTTAATGAGAAACATGCAGCTCTCCCAGCAAGACTTGTCTTGGTTACCAACAGCTGGGGCTACTGGGGCTTCATCTCTACTTAGGCGTCATGCAGGGTTGGTAACTTTCAGTACATCCACAGCAAAGAATATGACAAATCCCTTAGCCCATTCTCACCTTCTCATCCTATAGTATGAGCCAAGCACACAAAATATTACCAGAGAGAAACGTTAATGTGGAAATAACGCTGTAGGGAACAATAGTCAATACTTTGGCATTAGAGTTTTCAAGTACATTTTTTATTTTGGTTACCAGAGAGGCTCATGTTACTTCAGAATACATAACTATTTTCTTTATGCTTAGTCCAAAAGAGAAAAAAAGGAATCTGTGAAAAAGTTTATTGAACAGTATTTTTTAGAACCTTGTGTGGGACAGACTGAACTCAAAGGCAAAAATGTCAGTTCCTTTTCCAGTAGCATAAATAACCTCTAAACCTCAGTTGGTAACTTTATTGAATGAGTAAGAAAAGTGATACCTAACAAGGAGTTCTTGTTATGTACCAGATAGCGTGTAAAGCTCTTTACATATACAAAATCATGTACTCCTTTCGTCAGCCTATGAGGCAGGTTTTATTCCTATTTTACAGATGTGGAAACTGAGGCACAGATGCTTTGGAAGACAAAACTATCTACTGTCAGATACAATATTACCCAGAGCTGGGACTCTTAACCATCAACTTCAGTTTATCTAGTGGGATTCACAGGTGATGGGCGATGTTTGAACTTTCCTATCAAGTTGGCCAAAGGTCCCCTTGTCGGCAGAGGTGTCAGGTGTTAGTTTGGAATGCTCAGTGTAGTCTGACTATTGGGTTGCCAGAAAAGTTATGAGTATTTTTGCATAGAAAAACATAGAAAAATATGTCATGACTTTTCAGATGACCCAATACTTCATCTCTATTATATGTATCACTTGTAATTTGGAAGACAGGCCATTTTTTTGTGTGTTCGTTCATTTGCAGAAAAAATCAAGGACCTGCTTCCAGATGGCTCTCTTAGCAGCTCAACCAAGCTGGTGGTAGTGAACGCAGTGTATTTTAAAGGACAATGGGACAGGGAGTTTAAGAAAGAAAATACCAAGGAGGAGGAATTTTGGCTGAATAAGGTATGGCCTCCAATTTATTTATATGATATACTTACACATGGAATCTAAAAGAAATCTGAAGTTATATTTGAACAAATACACACTGGCAGGTTGCAAATGCTTGTTCTGGGACCCTGATTTTCAGCCTTATCTTAGGCCGAGCTGATGATGTCGATGAACTTCCCTGACTGCCTGGTGTCTTTGGTCTTATGTCTCAGTAGTGTATGCTCTGTTCATTTGTTGCAGACCACAAGTAAATCTGTGCTGATGATGACACAGTGCCATTCCTTTAGCTTCACTTTCCTGGAGGACTTGCAGGCCAAAATTCTGGGGATTCCCTATAAAAACAAGGATCTAACCATGTTTGTGCTTCTGCCCAATGAGATAGACGGTCTGGAAAAGGTAAATTCTTGCTTTTATTTCCAGGTGCTTTGTGTCCCATAGCTTGTTCTGGGTGAGCCCAGAAACAAGGTTTCTGAGTAGTTGCTCGTATTGACCCGTGTCCAACAGAAAGCATTTCATCCTATAGCAGCAAAGCTGAAGGAACAGCATTAACAGGTATCAAGTTTCCTAAGACCATCCAGTACTAAAGATTTTTGAGATGAGGTAAAATGAACATTTAGGCTTTTACTATACTGAAGATCATCTGCCATTCTGGGAAATGGTTGGTACCTACGGAACCCTTTCTAGGACAAACATTGCATGTACAGCAAATTTTGTGTGCCGTTCACTAGGCTCTGAATTTCCTTAGACCCAATCATTAAGTCTAAATGCATTGATTTAGTCCCACCCACTTTGCTGTTAAAAATATAGCTAATGGGAACCAGCAGTTAGTGTAATGGCTATGTCGCTGAACTCCCACGTAGTCGACCGCGGTTCGTGTCCCGGACCCGGTGGCTTAAAACTCACGCCGGGCGCGTGTGCATGCATGCCCAAGATCCCAAGAGGAGAATGGAGGAGAAGGGATTGCGGCGTGACCATCCCCGCTGGGGGGTGATTTCTCGCTTTCTGTCTCTTTGTCTCTCTCTGTTTGTCTGGCGAGCGCACGCGCCCTACAGTGAAAATCTCTCCAAAAAAAAAAACCTTTTGAGAGATTTTTGCTATAGGGTGTGTGCACTCACCAGAGAGGTAGAAAGCGAGAAATCATCCCCCTGGGGGGATGGCCATACTGCAATCCCTTCTCCTCCATTCTCCTCTTGGAATCTTGGGTATGCACACCCATACATGCCCTGCATGAGTTTTAAGCTGCTGGGTTCAGGACTCAAACTGTATTCTACTATGTGGGAGTCCAGCGATGTAACCATTATACCATCTGCTGGTCCCATTTAAAGCTTCTTAATTTTCTTGACTCTCAAAATATTTCCACCTATAATTTAGGCTCCATAGTGCTTGATGTATAAAATTGTAATGGTTAGAGAAATGGAGCCTAGCATGGGTGTAGAATATTCAGTGAATAATATCTAATATATTATAATTCAGATGCTATGCTATCGTCCTGAAACATTGCTAGTAGTCTTGTACATTGGAAAATATTTTGGGACAGCAAGATGGCAGTATATACACGAGCTTTAAGAGAATTTATATTCTGATTCGAAAATCCAAGTTGTGAGAATTACCCTGCGAAGATAATTCTTAAGGAAAAAAATATGTCTTTCTGACTGGAATCAGTTATTTCAGCATTAAATACACTAGGATATCTAGTTGGAAATCCATAGTAATTATTTTTGTATCTGTAGTATCTATCAGCGTTTATCATAATGTCTGATACTTACTAGGTGTCTGTAAAGTGAACGAATAGATAAATGTGGGTCGAATTTATCAACTTCATGGGAATATTATTTAGCAGTTTGAAAATATTTAGGGAGATGCACAGTAGTGTGATAAAATTCACATAAAACTAAATAAAATGAACATTCACTGTGATTACATTAATGTAAATATATAAGCATATGTAATGCATATATATTTATAGAAGGCAAGAGAGACTAGTAAAAATATGTAATAATTTATATTGTTATAGTATGAGATCATTGTATTAGATAGAATAAGAAATAACTTGTTTTTTATAATTATTTTGTTTTATTTTATTCATTCATTTTAATTTGACCAGTGAGACACACACACACACACACACACACACACACACAGAGAGAGAGAGAGAGAGAAAGAGAGAAAGAGAGAGAGAAAGAGAGAAAGAAAGAAAGTGAGAATGCAAACTTCCAGGTCTAGAACTTGAACCATGGTCAGCCATGTGGGAGTGTCTAGCATTAGCCACCATGCCACCTGGTGATCTCCAGAAATAACTTGGTTTTAACCTTTAAAATTCACTAATGCTATTTGGTTTTCACATATGCACTGACCATTTAAATAGAGAAGTAAAAGACAATTGCCTGTTATATAAAAGCAATAGCTCAGTGAAATAAAATTCCTACTTCTATTTATTACTAAGATTAACCACTGTTGACTAATACAAATCAGTCTTGCACTGTTTTAAATTTAAATCAATATTCATGCCATTTTGCCCCCCTTCCTTTCTAACAGATTATAGATAAACTAACTCCTGAGAAATTAGTAGAGTGGACTAGTCCAGGGCACATGGAGGAGAGGAACGTGGATGTGCACTTGCCCCGGTTTCATGTGGAGGGGAGTTATGATCTTGAAGCTGTCCTGGCAACCATGGGGATGGCAGATGTCTTCAGTGAGCACAAAGCGGACTATTCAGGAATGTCCCTGTACTCCAGGTTGCACGCCCAGAAGTTCATGCACAGATCCTTCATGGAGGTGACTGAGGAAGGCACCGAGGCTGTAGCTGCCACCAGCATAAGCCTTACTGTCATGTCCGCTGCAAGCTATGAAAACGTTCACTGTAATCACCCTTTCTTGTTCTTCATCAAACACATGGAGTCCAACAGCATCCTCTTCTTTGGCAGATTTTCTTCTCCTTAAGACAGTCTTTGCCATGGCCTTGATGTTCTCAGGGAAACAAGCACACGGTGTCGGAATATTAATATGATATGGTCGAGGCCTGTTCTTGGAAATTCTGTTTTATTTGTTTGCATTCTAATCTTGCCATCAAACTGATGATTTCATGACTGTAATAGCGCGCGTGTGTGTGTGTGTGTGTGCGTGCGTCTTTCCTTGAAAGTGGGATGTCATTTTGTTTGTGCCATGTATAAGGTGAGTCAAAGTGAAAGTCATTGATAATCTCCCCTTGATTTCTATAAAAAAGAAATCACTTTCTTGTAATTTTGTACACAAATAGAGAGAAATGGTCTCTTCAGTAAAAAATATGAACTAGTGATTTTCAAAATCCCTCCAGGTGCAGTGGTTTGGCATATTATAATACACAAGTAAAATAAAACAATCGTTTATCCAATTCATGTGTTACTTTTTTCTTTCTCAACAGATTTTGTGGGTTGACTGCACATAGGAAAGATTGTAGAAACACATGAGTAAAACACAAATTAGAACGTAAGTTCCAGGACCAAAGAAGACACTAACATAAACACAGAGGAGTCTCTCATTTTCATTTTCTGTTCTAACAGAAAAATATCATCCATTGTTAACTTGATAAACACTTTGATTTTCTAAAATAAGCATGATTATCAGCAAATGTAGCTGATAAATACTCCTAACCATGTCACATTTTTAAATTGGAAAGCAACTTTTAGAAAAGTAACTATTTTTTTTCAATTTCCCCATTTATATATTTCTGATTATTTTTTTGAGTGAGATGTGGGTGTTACCAAATTGTATTTTATGTTTTAGTTTGCTATAGGGTGTGCATACTCACTGGAGAGAGAAAGAGAGAGAGAGAGAGAGAGAGAGAGAAAGAGAGAGAGAGAAGAAATTAAAAATCCCCCCCAAAGTGGTGGGCCACACCACAATTCCTCCTCCTCCATTCTCCTGTCAGGATTTTGGGCATACACATGTACCCAGCATGTTTTTCAAGCCATCAGGTCTGGGATTCGAACTGCACAGTCTTGTGGATCCAGCAGTCTTTACCACCATGACATCGACTAGCCACCAAAATGATATTTTCTTAATTATTATTATTTTTTAAAACAGGGTCTTCCTCAGTCATTATTCTCCTACCATGGCCTCCAAGTAGCAGCAATTACAGGCACACACTACTGGGCCTGGCTGGAGATAGTAAAAAAAAAAAAGGTTATTTATTTCATCAGGGAAATAAAGAGACAGACGGAGACAGAGTGACAGGCAACCTCAATAAGGTCCTTATTCCATCATCCACTCCCAATACTAGTGGCCTAGATGGTGAACATGCATGTGTGCACCTACCTCATGTGCCCAGGGAGGTCCTGGAAAGCAAACTCAAGACTCCCCTTGTGGTTCCAGCTGCACCATCACTGTGCCACCAGCATCTCCTGATTATAGAGATTTTACCACATGCTTTAATGTCTGACTCTTTTAACTCCCTGTATTAGCTTTCTCTGACTGCCATTACAAAATGGTGGCTTAACACAAGAGAAACTTCGTGCATCACAGTTCTGGAGACTAGAAGCCCAAAATTAAGCTGTTGGCAGAGTTGATGCCTTTGGGATGCTTTGCAGGAAAATGTGTTCCAATTCTTTCTCCTAGTTTCTGGTGGTTGCTAACAATCCTTGGAGTTTCTTGGCTTACAAACACATCATTCCAATCTCTGTCTCCACCTTCATTGGCCTTCTCTTCTATGTGTCTATGTGCAACTCTTCTTATAAGGATATCGATCATTGGATTAGGTCTGACCTCATCTTGACTTAACTAATTGCATTTTAGAAAGACCTATTTCCAAATAAGTTCATATTTTGAGGTCCGAGTGGATATGAAATTTTGGGAAATATTCTTCAACCCACCATATTTACCATGTCATTCTTTTTCAGAACTTTTATGGTTGTTCTTATTTGTTTTCCCAGATAAAGTTTATGTAAGAAATTTGTCTAGCTCAAGAAAACAAAGGATTATTTTTGGGTTATGTGTGTGTATAGATTGCCTTAAACTCATAAATTACTTTAGGGAGAGCAGATGTCTTTATGATGTTGAGTGCTTCTATTCTAAAATAATTTGTCTTTTCATTTGTTCAATTCTGCTTTTGTGTGTTTTTTAGTTGTGTTTTATAATTCTTTCTACATAGTATTTGGATGTTCCTTATTAAGCTTACACTGACACTTTTATTTTTTGCAGCTATTAAAATAGTCTTTTTTTGGGGACCAGCAGATGGTGTGGTGGTTAAGGAGTTGGACATGCCCACATAGCTGACCACGGTTCAGGTCCCAGACCTGGTAGCTTGCTTTCTCACTTTCTTCCTCTCTCTCTCTCTCTGGTCAAATTAAAAAAAAATAAATGAATTAATAAATAAAATTAAATAATTCTTATAAAAAAAAGAAAAAAAATAGTCTTTTTTTTCTAATGTAATTTTTATTTAACAGAACACTCGTTACAATGTGTTTTCCAGTATGTGAACACAATGTGTAAAGATTAACTCAGGATAATAGTATACTCTTCATCTGAACCATTTGAAGCATCATATACAGGAAGTTATTAATGTCATTTTCCTTACTGTATTTTATAACTATAGAAAATTTTCCTTTATCTAACTGAAATTTTGCCTCTGCTAGTCAACATTCTTCTACATGCATTTTTCTAGCATCCAGTAGTCATTCTACATCTTTCTATTTTTTATGAGGTAATTTTTTTTTCAATTTCTGTATGTGAGTGAATATTTGTGATATTTCTCTTTCTGTATATGGCTTATTTCACTTAACATAATGGTCTCCAGATTTATGCATTTAACTTCAGATGACTAGATTTCATTCATTTTAAAATGCCTGCATAAAATTCTGTCATTTGGATGATATGGATCACATTTTTTATCCATTCGTCTATTGACAGACACTTAGATTGTTTCCATATCTTGGCTCTTTATTATAAATAATGTAATAAACATTAGGGTACAGATATGGTTACAGTATACAGATTTCCTTCCCTTATATACCTAGTAGTGAGATTGCTGGATCATACAGCAGTTTTGTTTTAGTTTCTTGAAAAATCCCTACTGTTTTCCATAATGGCTATACTAGTTTACATTTCACCAGTGTTGTAAAAGAGCACCTCTTTCTCTGCATCCTTGTTAACATTTGTTACTTGTTTTTTAGATAATAACCATTCCAACTGGAGTGAGATTATATTTCATTTTGGTTTTGATTGTATTTTCCTAATGATAAGTGATTCTGAGCATTATTTTACCTTTTTGGCTGTTTTTGTGTATTCTTTTGAGAACTGTTGTTCAGATTATTTGCCCATTAAAAAAAATCAGTTTCTCTCTTGTTTTACTGCTAAATTAAGTTCATTGTATATTGTGGTTATTAATTTCTTGTCAGATTAATATACAAATATTTTTTCTTATTCTGTGGATTGTTTCTTTTTTAATTTTAATTTTATTTATTTTTATTTTTTATTATTATTCATACATTAAATCACTATACATCATTTAGATTGTGAAGAGACTTTACCTAGCATGATTTATCCCTCAGTCCAGCCCAGTTGAGACTATTATACACATCCTTGTCAACAGGTAATAAATCTTAGCTGTGTTCCCCAAGTGTCTTACCTCTCCATTCCCTCCCCTCCAAATTTCCTTTCCTATGCTCTTCCCCTCCCACACTCTCTTTCCACTTTGTTTCTAGTGTCCATTACAATTTCTAATGCTTTTATGTTCTCCAGTCTTTCAGTCTCTACCATAGAGTGTGGAGAGTCAGTATAGGTTAAGTGGAGACATACAATGTTTCTCTTTCATGGCCTGACTTGCTTCATTCAGGAACATAGCTTCCACATTTATCTACTTTCTATCAAATTCCAAGGCCTTGTATTTTTTTTTTTTTTTTTTTTTGTGGCTGAATAGTATTCCTTGTGGTACATGTACCACAATTTTCCAATCCATTCATCAGTTTGTGGACATTTGGGTTGGTTCCATGTCTTAGCAATCATGAATAATGCTGTAATGAAAATAGTTGTGCAAGCACTTTTCTGAGTGCTCTACTATCCTTTGGGTAGATACCCAGGAGTGGAATTGCTGGATCATATGGTAGTTCTATCTGAAGGTCTTTGAGGAACCTCCATATCATTTTCCACAGTGGCTGGACCATTTTACATTCCCACCAACAGTGTAGTAGTGTTCCTCTTTCACCACATCTCCTCCAGCACTTATCATTATTTGTTTTTTAATCTTTGCCAGTCTAACTGGGATTAGGTGGTATCTCATTTTGGTTTTGATCTGCATCTCCCTTATAATGAAGGATGTTGTGCATTTTTCATATTCATTTTGGCTGTTTGTATGTTTTCCTTAGAGAGTTTTTTATTTGGCTCATTTTCCAGTCTTTTAATTGGATCAATCATTTTCTTCCGGGTAAGCTGCTTGATTTCCCTGTGTATTCTAGTTATCAGTCCCTTATCTGAGGCACAGTCAACAAAATTTCTCTCCCATTCCAACGGTTGTCAATTCACACTAATTATGGTGTTCTTTGCTGTCAGAAACTCCTTAAACTGATGTAATCACACCTGTCTATTTTGGGAATTATTGCCTGTGCTTTGGGGGTCTTACTTAAGAAGTCTTTGCCCACCCCAATGTCTCCCAGAGTTTCCCCAGTGTTTTCCATCAGTAGTTTTATAGTTTGTGTTTTTAGGTTTAGATCTTTGATCCACTTTGAGTTGATTTTTGTTAATGGTGACAGATAGGGGTTCAGATTCATTTTTCTGCAGGTGGATACCCAGTTTTTCCAACATAATTTGCTAAAGAGGTTTCCCTTTTCCCTCTGGATTGACTGGTACCCTTTGCCAAAGATAAGTTGGCTGTATGTTTTCTTTACTCTGTTGGCTTTTTCCTTTGCTGTGCAGAATATTTTCAGTCTGGTATGGTTTGATTCATCTATTTTTGCTTTGGTGCCTGTGCTTCTGAGGTTTTATACAAGAACTCTGCCTATATCAAATTCCTGAAGTGCTTGAGTAGGCCCTTGAGTAGTCATATGACTTCAGCTTGGTCAATCACTATATTCATTTAGCCACAGTAATCTAAAGGGTAGAAATGTGGCCTGAGACTTTATTTAAATATATTGGGAGAGAA